TTAATTCATTGACTTGTGGACTGGTTTCTTTAAATAATTTACTCTTTATCTCACATGGGACAGATCAAGTATTCTTGGCTGAACTTTCTCTTTTATAAGCTTGGTTAGCTGTTTGTTTTTCTTTGCATTTCTTGGGGTTTCGAGACATCCTCAGAGTATCGTAATCTAGTTTACTACTATCCATCGAGTCAACATAGTTGTAGCTACAAGTTATGTTTTCCATATAGAAGTTTCCCTTTTCTGTCATTTTTTGCAATCATTTTTCTATTTCTGACAGGCTTATGTCTGCAGTTCTTGACAATATGTCGTTTCAGATGCAATTGAAACACCTATTGTCCTATGGTTTACTTCCATTTTGAGTAAATAGTTGTCTGATTAATCTTTTGAGTTATTTCATCAGAGGGAGTTGATATTTTCACATAAATTGATCTCACAATAGCTAGATTATGTGTTTAATTATTTATCTCCAACTGTAACCGATTCAGTTTACACTAACAGCCACACAATTTCCCTTAAATATGACCACCTACTCTTTGTTTTAGTGTGATAATTATATCCTCATCCACTATGACATCAGTAAATTGGTTGCATGCCAAACAAATCCATAATTTCACATAGAGCATTTTGGATATGATAATTGGGCAATTCATTCTTCTTGATCTTATTTTAATATTCTGTCTATTTCTTCTTTATATTCATTAAATGTTTTATACCAATCTTCTTTCTGTTGTTTCGTCATATCCATAAAATGTTCAATCTTGCTTTGAGCATGTGTTGAAGTTTTTATTTACCTTTACCAAAATAATTCCATTCTTGACCCTTGTGTTGTAATGGTTTCTATTATGAGGGTTATTTGATAAAAATTGTTTTGGAAAATCCAGTCTTCTTAACGATGATAAAAACATTTTATTCCGTAAATTCCACAAGTTCATGGTTTAGTGTGTAACTAACACCAAGCAATAGGCCTAACCTAATAAATCCATTTACAGTTACCAGTTTTATCTCACTTTCTAATATTTCTAGCACTTTGTTGCAAACATAATCTCAAAATTTACAAAACCAAAAAACTTGCTTATTCAGTAGGCTAATGGGCTTACTTTCTAACTGACTGATTACTCAATCTACTTTAGCCTAACTCATATTTTATACTACTAACTGTTACTAAAGTTGAGAAAATTACAGACTTTAAGCCATGCATCATGTGTTGACACACCTCCCCCTGGCCAAACAACATTTATAAATTACCTCACTTCAATTGTGCAACAAGAGGATCACTTAACAAATCATGGAAATATGGAGAAATAAAGTGATTTGATATGTATATTATTATTATTATTATCATAGACTATGAACAACCCTCTGTATTATGTAAGGGTTGTGAGGAAAGCCTTATAAATATTTTTCCTCCTTTTATCTTCTCAGTAGTATATATATATATATATATATATATATAGTATGCTAATATTAATAATATATTACTAAATTAAATTTAAATTAATAATACGTATGTAGATCGTCGTTTTAGTTATACTTACCTTTTTTAAGTTTTTTA